TATTATTATTATTATTTTTATTTTTAATAAAATGCTGAAGTGGTAGGTAGATGCAAGATAAAGGTAGAAAACATAGTTTAGTGCTGTAAGAGAGCAAATGTAGATGATCAGATGATCAGGTGTGTGCCTATGGACTAAGTATTAATCCAGGCTAGACAAGGGCAGCAAGACATCCACGGATGCAGAAGATTTCTCTCAAAGCAGGGGGGGTGAGGTTCTGAGCCTCACCTCTGTTGATCCCCAAATTCTCACCTGATGGCCCCCCTGCGACTGTGCCTGTCTTAGGTTGTTCCTCCCTTGAGGAATCTTACCCGTCTCTGGCTAACCAGTCATCTTCTGGGGCCATACAGGGAAATGTAAAGTTGGTAAGTGAGAGAGAAGCCCTATTGTTTGAAAAGGTTAGCTTTTTACTTCTTTGCAGATTTATGCCCTGTGGCTTCTATGCCCAGTTCTTCCAGGATTTTTATAGTTTTGGGTATTTGATCCATTTTGAGTTAATTTTTGTATATGGTTTAGGAATCCAACTTCATTCTTTTGCATGTGGATATCCAGTTTTCCCAGCACCGTTTGCTAAAAAAAACTGTCCCTTCCCCGCACCCTTGTAGAGAACAATTTGAACATACATGTGAGGGTTTATTTATGGGCCCTCTGTCTGTGTGTCTGTGTTTATGCCAGTACCATTGTAATTATTATAGCTTTTTAGTAAGTTTTGAAATCAGGAAGTGTATCAACTGCTCTTTTAATAAGCATCTACTATGTACCAGGCATTGTGAAGGTGAACTAGACCTTGTCCCTGCCTGTCTGAAGCCATGCTTTCCTGGTTCTTGACTTTATTCAGGATAGTTGAAGTTAGCATGATGTCTTCCAGATATATGAGAGTTCCAATATCATAGTCACCTGACCATTCCTGACACGTGTGAAAGTGATTACTCATCCAGGTTTAGTACCAAGGTAGAAGTGTGTGTGTGTTGATTAGCATATACCAGATTCTCTTAGTGAACATGTCTGTGTGTTTCCTCCCCAACATAACAAAATCAATTTCTAATGACTTCCATTCTAAACTTTTCTATTTTAACTAAATTTTTCCTGCGTATTATGTACACCTTTTGAAGTCCTTTTAGCCAAGTGTCTCTTCTAAGCAGAGTGATTTCCTTGAACTCACATAACAGATTGATAATCGAATTAACCTTTTAAAATTTAAAAATTATAAATGTTACTAAGAAATCTATTTAAAGGTATTCCATGATAAACTCTTCAGTAGGGGGAGATCAGGTTTACTGAGGTATTAGTTATATATGATAAAATTCACTATTCTCAAGTAGGTAGTTCGATGAATTTTGAATGTATTCAGTCATGTAACCACCACTACAGCGTGAGGAATCTTTCTTTAAAATATGTAATCACCCGTCCTTGGTTTAAATTTGAAGTTTGACATGCTAAGGTTGCAGTTGCTTGAAAGGATAATTAAATTAGAGTTTAAACAGTAACATTATCATTGGTAAGCCCACTCCTCAAGTAAGCTAGGTGGTTGTTTTCCAAAATGAATATAGTGGAATTTCAGAATGGTTTTTGGAATTTGTTTCCTGTTAAAGGCCTAGAATATCCTGCAGTGGTAGAGTTTGCTCCATTCCAGAAGATAGCCAGAAAGAAGCTAAAGAAAAAAGATGCCAAAACTGGAAGTATTGAAGATGGTGAGTCCTTTTTCAAATGCTGGATTATAGAAATACCAACTTAAATGCGCTGATCAAATATGGTTCCTCTCCATGTGTGGGAGGGACATACTTACTCTCTTTTTTTATTCTTATTTGACTTACAGACCCAGAGTATAAGAAGTTTTTAGAAACTTACTGTGTCGAGGAACAGAAAACTAACGCCAGTCCTGAGACTCTCCTGGGAGACACAGAGGCAAAGACGAGGGCGCTTACTGGTCTGTTCTGCTCATTTCTTCTCTGCACTCTTTTGAGATATGTATTTACATTTATAGAGTTATATATTTATCTCCTTCTCATGTTTATTATAAAACATTGACACTTGAGAGAGGCTTGGCATGTAGGAGTGTGGAGTGTGTCCCAGTTTTGAAAAGGTGACAACATGAGGAAATACTTGTATGCGTTTGTGCAGGCAGAGTGCTGAGTTTCCAGTTGCAGTCATTTTGTTTCAAAGTTAGGATGCTTCTGAATGAGCAGTGAGAAGACAAGGAAGAGCCCTGCGCCTGGCTGTGTCAGGGAAGGAGCGTTGTGTCTCTAAGTAGAAGTTTGTCATCTTTCTAAGTAGTCACAGAAATGAGATGCTTTGCGTAAGAATGAGGTTGTTTTGCCATTGTTCGGAAAAATATCAAGCCCCCTGAGCAAGCAAGCAAATGAATGGATAAACCCCGCCAGAGCCCAGGATCTGGTTTGAATCAGGCCTTCACCCTACACCCGCAAATGATATATTTTAGAAATGGTTAACTCCTAGTAGCAGTCCCCAAAACTTGAGAGTGGACATGAAACACCTTTTTCTGCCAGGCACTCTGCTGGTGGCGTGTAGACACCCTTGTAGTCTCCCTTCCTGTCCGTCTCTTCTTGGTGCCAGGCCCAGCGCTCCTCCCTCACCCCTCCCAGCCTGCCCCTCCCTGGCTGCGTCCTGCTCAGCCACTAATGCTTACAGGATGGGGCAACTGCACACAGTTCTTAATTTTTCTTCTTATTTATCCATCTTCTCCTACGTAAACTCTCTTCTCATTCTGCTTTTCCGTCCTCCCCCAGATGGAACTGTAGTTTTGTTTTTGTAGCCCCAGCATGTAGTACATTGCTTGGACACGTTTAGGTATTCAGTAGGTGTTTGTTGAGTAAATTAATAAGAACATTAACATTAAAGCATTCATCATTAATCTAATAATGAAGTTTTAAATTTTCTAATAGATGATTTAACATGTGGCTCAAAAAATTTTAATCAGTAAAGTAAACCTTTATTAAGATGTGCTTAGGATGCATTTGCTCATTTTTATTCAGCACATGTTGCTAGGTGCCAGCTCAGCCCAGGCATGAGGACAGAATGTGAACAGACACCTCTGTCTTCATGAGGTTGCCCTTCCACTGGGAATGATGTGGTAAACACATGCAGAAATAATCAAGTTTCAAGTCAGAGCATTTGTGATTTCCATTCATGATAAGTGCCACAAATGTGATAAAGTAGAATAATGGGATAAAAAGAAAGTCCCGTCTGAGACCAGCCGTGCTCAGAGGTGGAGAAAGCAGGAACTCCAGATGCAGGGACTGGGAGCTGAAGCCTCGGTCAGGAGTGGGACGCCCATCAGTGTGTCTGGCACATAGCAGGCAAGGAGCAGAGCCCCGAGGCAGGTGGGCAGGCACGTTACCTTGAGCTGGTGTGTAAGAGGTTTGGGTTTTATTCAGGGACAGCTGGAAGCCACTGAGTGAGTGAGTGACATGGTCTGATGTATTTTCCCATCGCTCTGTCTGCTCCGTAATGGTTGGCTGTGGTGCTGAGAAAGGCTGGGCTTCTGGTTAGCGGGCTTTGCTGCAGTCCAGGGAGGGTGGCCTGAATGAGGCTGGCGGTCAGCATACGCGCTGGGTGCAGGTAGAGCTGGCAGGCCTGGCCAATGGAATTGGATATGGGAACAGAATCAGGGCTGCTGGGAGTTTGAGTCGATCAGATCAGTGGATTGTGGCACCATGACTGACATGGGGAAACCTGGGGAAGAAAAAATGGGGGCAAGTCAAGAAGTTAGGTTAGAATTATGTTAAATTTAAGAAGAGCTAAAAGAAGAAGCAAATTAGATATTTTTTACAGAATTCGCCTTTCTCCCCTCCCATTTCTTTCCCACTGTGTTTTAGATGCCCCCGTATAGGAAAATGGCAGGATCTTTCCCTTCTGGGGAGTCGTGAGACAGCCCCTTGGTGGTCAGACGCACACCATCCCACAGCTTCCCCATTCCTGGCACCTGGCCCAGTCCTGGCACACAGCAGATAAATTGTGGTCATCTGCTGAATGAATGAATATGACTTAGAATCCACTAGCCCAGGAGGCAACTGAAGAGCTGTGTTTCTGTTCCAATTTCTGCCCATTTAAATTTGAATCTTAATCAGGCAATTCATGGCAAATTGCCTTTTTCTTTTCTTAGATTTTTGCCTTCAGTGGATTCTTATGATCAAGTCTATAAACAGTGAGGGTCTAATGGAAATATTAATTGGCTCTAAAGTCACAGGTTAGTGTCATGGCCGGTCAAGGTCATTAGAGCAGACAGGCCTGGGCTCGGCCCTGCCTGTGGCCGACAAGTCCAGAACTTCCTTGGTGCAGAGAAGAGTCCTCCCTAATGTGGAGTGACTTGCCTGTTACAAAGGGCATCAGCTGTACTTATTCTGAGCCAGTTCATGGGTGACACAGGAGCCCCTGAGGAGGGCATGGACTCTTCTTGGTGCCTGTACCTGTGATGAAAGGTGGGTATCTGTACTGTGAGCTCCTCACCACAGCCATGAACCTGGGGCAGACGCCATCTGGTACGCAATGTCAAGTTATTCAGGAGTTCTCACTTCCAATTTAGGAACCCCTAGCCATGGGCTTTCTTAAAATTCCCAATTAATTCCTGATCTGTCGCATCAGTCTTGCAGTGTATCCAGGGACTCTCCCTTCCCCCTTTAGCCTGAGATGCTTAGCTTCTTCCACCTTCCCAGCTGTGTCCTCAGCCGCCACAGGGAACAGTCCCTCTGAGAGGCAACGCTGGAAGCCTGCCATGCATGGGCGCCTGTCAGGGTCAGGTGGAGGGTTGAGTTAGAGTTTGTGGAGATACTCACTCCTGGGTAGTTGGTGCTTTTTAGATCAACAGTACCGTGGTGGAGTCATTTTCTAAAATATTATATCTGGTTATTTTAGTTTATAGAGTATATTATAAGAAACTACAAGAATCCACATTGCTTAAAGCCATTGGGTGGAAAAAGCAAGAAATTCTCAGAGTATGTGTTGAATCAAGTAAATATATAAATATGTGATGATTTAAAATACCTAAAAATGTGGAGATACTCCTAACATTTGGGAAGTTCAGTGCATTGTGCCCATTTTGCTTTTCTGCTGTGTACTGTCTTTGTAATATGTAAGACTCCCTTAGGAACAGAAATTACTACCTCCCATGTGTAAAATTGTCAGTACCCTTAAATCACTTGACTTTATAGAGGTGGAACAAGAACTCCCCAAATGCAGTGTATGCTCACATAAACTTAAACATGATAATATTCTTCCCCTCATTATTTTAAATATTAAATTAGAAACAAATATTTAAAATAAAGGAAAGAAATCTTATTTAGAGTTAAATACTGCATTACAATTTTTGTGTTTTAGCTAGAAGAACCACACCTCTTTTGGAATATATTAAAAATAGAAAATTAGAAAAGCAGGTAGGTATGGCCTTTGAACATCCTTCCTGGTTCTGCCATGTCCATGCAGATAATTTATACACGTGCCTTCCCGTGTCTTTAGAGAATTCGAGAAGAGAAGCGAGAGGAAAGGAGGAGGAGGGAGTTGGAAAAGAGACGCTTACGGGAAGAAGAAAGAAGAAAAAGAAGAGAAGAGGAAAGTTGGAAGAGAAAAGAAGCAGACCAAGAAAAGAGAGCTGCTGAGAAAGATGTAAGGATTAAGGTAATCTTGGGAAGACATTTCTCTTTTCCAAAAATAATTCTGCTATAAGAGTCATACCTTTTAGGGGTTTAAGGAACATTTTCAGTTTGTGTAGTCTCTCTTTTTTTGTACCTTTTCTTTATTCTACAGCAATAGTTTTCGAACTGTGTGCCATGAGCCTGGGGGTTCCCTAGGATGCTCTGTTTGGGAGGACCAGGCAGGTGGATGGGTGGAGGAGGAGCCTGACTTTAAATGTCATTAATTGAGCTTCCGCTTATATTTTCCTTTAAAGAAAAGATTTCCTGACTGAAAAATACTCATAGGAGAACCATTGGCTCAGTGTGTGCTGGCTTCCCACACGAAGGCTAACACAGAAGGGCCTTCATGTCTCTTGTGCAGTAGCGGTAGTGGGTTCCATGTCTCTTGCCCAGTCTCTGCTCTGACTGATGCATTCATTTAGGAGGGTGGCTTGATCCATAGAGGGAATTTTTCTCTTTGTAAAATTATTGCTCCAAATTGAAGTCAGCCCTTAAACCTTCTTATTCTGCTGAGATGACCTTATTAAACTTAGATTTTAGTATAATGTCCATCCTACCTCACTGTACAGAGGATTTAAGGTGGCTCATAGCGATTCATTAAAATTATGTAAGGAAGAAAAAGGTCAAGACTTAGGGGAAGACAGAGTAGAAAGAGAAAGGATGTAGAGGAGGTCACAGTCACCATAACTTAGCCTTAGACTTGTTTATGATACTGTCAACAGAACAGAAAAGGTGATCAGAAACATAGGTTTTGTTATCCCTGAAGAGAAACATGTCATTTCTTCCAGAGAAGCAAAGCTTTCTTTAGGCCTTTATGTCTAAAACAATTTCTCCCATAAGTGTTCTTGTTGGGCTTACTAGTAATGGAGGGAATAATTTCTTAACAGTATTCCTATGAAAGCACAACCATTTGTGTCAGGACTGGCAAGGTGGTGCTGCAGTAACAAACAGCCTCAAGATCTCCCTGGTCTCACATAGCTGACTTTTTGCTCTCATTCACATCATGTGCCCGTCACTCACTGCTCCTTGTAGCCCTTCAGTGTCCCAGGCTGAGAGAGGCTCCATCTCAGCATTTGTTTCCACAACCTTGGAAGGCAGAGGGAGGAAAAATGTACACAGCAGACTGCGCCCTTAGATCTTCCACATGGAGCGACATGTCCCTTCTGCCCACATTTCACTCCCTAGAACAAGCTACACGCCCCTGCCAATCTCAAGTTGGGGGCATGTGGAACAAGCACGAAGAGGAAAACCCAGAACACCTGATGAACAGCCCTGGCGAGTGACATGACTCCGGAAGACTGTCTCCTGGAATGTGTCTCTTCAAGGACATTGCTGAAAATCCCAAGTTGATGAAAGGTGTGGACCAGGTCACGTTGCTCAAGCACATTGGCCATAGAGATAAATCCCTGACGTACAAGATGAGTTGATGACCATTTTCCCACAAAAAGTCATCCTAAGTAGTGTTTTTCAACTTGCCTTTGATGAGAATGGGACAGATCAATCAGTTGTTTTAAAATCTCGTGATCTGACATGACACTGATGAACTTGAGGAGCCGAGCCAGGACTGTGAAAGAGCGTCTGTCCCACATCTGCAAGGACACAAACCTAATGACAGGAAGGGTGGGGTGTTCCTCAGGGAACCCAGTGTGTTTTCTGTTTGTTCGGTTTAAGTGTACACATAACTCCACAACAAAGTTGTAGCAAATGTATTTTCTGTAACAAACACATGTAGTCTCCATGGCATACATTACTAGCCCTTGAAAGATAACTGAGACATGAAACCTTAGCACCACATCATATGAATCCAGTTCCATGAGGACCAGAGGCAAAGCAGGTCTATACCTAATGCAAATGCTGTGGTTGTAGGCATGTGCATATTGTCTGACCTTTTCACATACAGCTCTGAATGGTACATTAACCCAGTGCCTAATGCTTTGTGATCTCAGAGCACTTTGTCAGCTGCTTGGAGAGTTTTTCAAGAAGAATCATCAAAACTTGTGGCTTTCAGTTTTGACTATGATTGTAAGTAAGACAAAGTATTTGGAGTGTAGTGATTTACTTTTACTTTTCTGAGTATGAAATTAGGATCCCAAACAAGCCAGAGAAAAACAAATTTAAGTCTATAAAAGTAAATGTAGATCCTTCATATAGAAAAAAATCAAAACATAAACACAGCAAGAGAAAGGGTTTCCTGTAAATCTGGTAAAACAGAATCCTGGTGGCAGTGAGACCCCAGTGACATGAGTAACCCCCACATCTGTCCTTAGGAGTGTCTGCTGTTCCAATCTAATAGTACATATCTGAGCCAAAGTTTAGCTTTTAATAAGCATCTGTCTCAATTGGGGAATCTGACTTATGTATTTAGAGAATTTAAATTTAAAAAAAAATGAAAAAAACCTGTGAGGAAATGCTATAAGAATTTGTATCAATGGTCTGAAAGTGGAGGCAGAGACGCCGCATGGCTGTACAGCAGAGCACCCTGTGAGAGGGGCCAGCGGCTGCTTTCACTTCCCCTTGATGCAGTGGAACTGAGCAGCAGGCTGAAGCTGAAGTGAGAAGCAAGGAACCAGAGCCGCAAATAAAAACTACCGAATATATAGATTGTATACAGGCTGTAGATTACATTATATAAGAAAGTCGTGTCATCTTTTTCCCAAAGATCTTAAGTACAGATGTGTGTGTAGATCAGCTTCCATGCATGTGGGACCAGCCCAGAAGAGGTCTGGATGGGAGCACACAGGCCTGGAGACGGCCTCCACTTCCAGCGGTCAGGCCTCACTTCCCTCCCTGCGGGTTGATCGCACCCCAGGCCTCTGCCTGCTTCCTCTGCAGGCACCCACAAGTGGCTCCTTCTCATCGCCTGGTCTCCATTCTCACTTTGTGTCTGCAGAGAGGTCCTCCCTGACCCCCTCGAGAAACCATCCCACTCTTCCTCTCATCCTATATCTCTGTCCTTTTAATCTCTCTCGTTGTATGTCGGTGACATTCATAACCAGCTGAGATCATCTTCCCTTTTTCCTACTTTTGGAAGCTATATGGAGAACAGGGAGGGAGTCCCAGACTCAGACACAGGTAGTCAAATGCATTGCGGTGACCTGCTGAGGCTGTTTCAAGAAAGAGAATGTTATGGAAACTGAACTGTTATAATACCAACAGTTTAAAGCAACATTTTAAAAAATGTTTTTTCCCTTATTACAAAAGTAATACTTGTTCATTTTAGAAAAACTGGACCTTGTAGATGAAAAGAAAGAATTTCAGTTCTGCCACCTAAAAATAATCACTTTTAATCCAGTGTGCAAGCCTTTTAGACACTTTTCTGTGTGTGTATCCTAGAAATAGAAGTTCACGTGATTGTTTTTGGGAATTCTTTCATTCATTAACATGGGCATCTTTTCATCACATGAACTGGTTTTTCATAACTATGAGGTATTTTCATTGGCTGAATGCTCCCCTGTGGATTTAATGAAAAACCTGGTCATTGGACCTTCAGCTTATCTTTTTTGCTACTCAAGTGTTTGGGCTCAATATTGGTATATATATTTTATTATTTATATGCAACTTCTTTCATAATATACTCTTAAAGTGATATTTACTACCATTATAATTTCTTAGCTTCTTAAGAAACCAGAAAAGGGAGAGGAACCAACCACTGAGAAACCAGACGAGAGAGGAGAGGAAGCTGATGCTGGAGACGGAAAGCAGGGGGCCTGTGCTGGCCGCACCGGGAATCCGAGGGCTGTGGAGCACTCCCTGGAGGAGCTCAGGGAAAAGTGAGCCCCGCACTTTCATTTCTTTGACTACGTTAAGCATCACAGGATTGTCACTGAGTCAGTCATCTATCCTTTGTCAGTACGAGGGCTTACATTTCCTGATATTCTTGAAATTCAAGGACTGCCCAGGGTCTGCTTGTCCATGTCTTTGTTTCTCCTTGGCTGTGTAGGGACTCAGTGAACCCTTTCAATCTGCAACCTTAGCTCTACCTTCAAACCAGGGAAATGCCCTCCTGTCAGTTCTCAAACAGTTGCCCCTCCCTGCCCCTTCCTCTGGTCACTGTTACTGCACTTCAGGTTCAGGATGTTCCTGGTCNAACCAGGGAAATGCCCTCCTGTCAGTTCTCAAACAGTTGCCCCTCCCTGCCCCTTCCTCTGGTCACTGTTACTGCACTTCAGGTTCAGGATGTTCCTGGTCTCTTGGTGATTTTGCTCAGTTTGTGATTGTCCTCTGTGTGTTGAGATGTCTTGCCTCTTGGATACTCTAGACCTATTACAGTTTATCTACACAACTGAGAATTTGAGAACCCAGTCTTTGAGGTGCAGGGAGGTCTGCTGAGGCACGCAAACAGCTGTAATTCCTCTGCTGGAGTCGTTAGGCCTCTGGTCCCAACCAAAATTTGACCAGCAGCTGTGGGTCCTGGCTGTGTCTGACATACATTCCACTAGCCCAGCCTCTCTCTGGCTGGGGGTCCTTAGGACACCGTGCTTTACCTGCTCATGACATGCAGCTCAGGGAAGGAGCCTGAGTAGGACTACTCTGGAAACAGGCAGGTACAGTGATCTCTGTGCAGGAGCCTGAGAGAGAGCAGCCGGACTCTTGTGCCGAGTGAGCCCCTCCCTCGTGCCCCTGCATCCTCAGGGTTTGGCCACCTACCCACAGCCAGTAGAGCCAGGTGCAGCTAGGCTTCTTGTCCCCCTGGCGCAGGGCTCCTGCCCATGCACTGCATCTGGACACCCATAGAGCTTGCTGTAGCCCAGGCTGCTCTGTGCACAGGGGTGGCTGAAAGTGGGTTTGAGTTAGGAGGGGAGATGGTGAGTCACTCAGACTAGGCCGCCATTTGCCCAGAATCACTGTGATGTGACTGACTCTTCCTGTCTTTCTTGCTTACAGAGTTGCGATCAAGTTTTTTCCCCTATTTTTAGGGGCTCTTGTTTATAAGATTATACATGATCATCAAATCTGTGATCTCTCAGCATTGGTTTATGTTGTAGGTGTTTGTATTATTATTGCTGTGGTACAGCTGCGCCATGTCTGGCACAGATTCACACTGCCTGTAGATCTTTTGTCCCACTGGCCCTGCTGCCTCTGGGTTGGGGTCGCTACATACAGCGTGTGCAGACTTTTGCCTGTGGCTCTTTGAGGGAAAGACTTTAAGAACCAAATAAGCTAAGAAGCCATTCATTTATTTTACTGTTTCTTCAATAGTTTGATACGTGCATAGATATTACTAAATTTCAGTTCATTTTAGTTCTGTTTGAAGCAGAGCTAAGCTGTCAGCATCAGCTCTGCCACGATGGATGCACATCAGCACTGCTGGGAAGGCCACCCAGGCCTCTAGTCTCCTTCATACTTTATCTGTGAGCCGAGGACTCCTACTCACTTTGGAGGGTTGCTGAGAACCAGAAAAACGTACACATGCTGCGCCTCGGCGTCGAGCCGATTACATGTGTCACTCGGTTATAACAATAAATATCACTGTTAGTACTGTGTATTCATCTTTCAACAGCTTCCTAGTGATTGCCTGCGGTATGCCCATCACGGGTGCACTTGGCAGTGCGCAATGACCAAACTTATATTCCCTGTCAGTTTGGGAACCTAGTCTGGAAGGGAAGGCAGGTAATCGGCCACAGTTTACATGCAATTACTGACAATTTGTATTGAATCACAGGTCACAAAATGACAGTGCTAAAGAGCAAAGGGATGTGGAGAGAAGATTTCGAGAGAAAGAACTGGAAACTCAAAGATACCACTTGGATGATGGCCGAAAGTATCGAGCTCACTATGAGTTTGACAAGCTTTCAAGAAGACATGAAGAAGAGCTGAAATGGGGGAAAGGATTCATCCCAGACAGATGGAAGAAGGGGGCCCAGGACAGTGGTGCCCCTGTAGAGGAAGCAGAGAGACCAGGGAGTGAGCTGAAAAGCGCAGGCGGCCCGGCACCCAGGAAGGAGCATGTGGGAAACAAGGTTCTTTCATGCATTTTTGATAATCTTCTGTTCATCAGTGCATATAAAACTACAAACTGCACTTCCACAGGCTTATAACTGCTTTTCTTAACAGAAATCCTTTTATTTAACCAAGAAGGAAAAACCCCGTCAGTGCCTTGAGGTGTAGGGTTGCGCACTGATGAGGCCCCTGTCCTGAGGGCTCCTGCGTGCAGGCTGCCCCAGGGAGTCTGCGTCTGCCGGAGCTGTATATCCCAAAATGTGGTTAGCTATCTTCTTTTCTCAGAGAACCAACCCTGAAAAAAAACTATGTAGTATAACACTAGCACATTTATACCATTTGCTTGAGAATAAGTAATGGCAAGATTATAAAATTTACTCCTGAGATAGTAAGGAAAATATTAGTGACATTTCATGGCGCTTGCTTTTACATCAGTAGCAGTGTTCTGATTACTAATGGCCACCCAAGGGCTCAAAATACCCATGAGATCAGTGGGCATGCTCGGCACAGGATTGGGCTGCCCATCTAGCCAAACAGACAGCTTATTTTTCAGGTTTGAGACAGATTCAGATCCCGTGGTCGCATAGCAGCACTATTAGTGGGGTCTCACTCCAACCAGGACCCAGCCCACGGCACTGTTCAGTCTCCCAGGGCCTGGCCTCCAGGCAGGCCGCTGGGACCAGGCTGCCTGGGCTGCACACCTGCCTCCCACCCTGACCCTGTACCTGCTCCCTGTTCTTTGTGCCTATGAGTTTGTCATTCCAGGGATGCTGTATTGATGGACACATAGATAGAGTCTCTGAGGCTGGCTTTTTCATTCAGCATAATTCCCTTCATACCCACCCAGGTTGTTGCAGGCATCAGTGATGCTGATTTTCAAAGTATTTCCCATAAAGACAAGGCAGAGCTCCAGACAAGAGAACCCTCCCACCTTCTTCCGCGGCTCATCACATATGCACTACTCAAGGTTTCCATGTGACCTGAGCCTCTGGTACCCCAGGTGCAGCCATGGGTCATCTTGTTGGGGTCGTTCATATGAACACTTGGTTTTCAGCTGCCTTTTTTAATTTAGCCACAGTGAGCGATTTGGACATTGGCCGACCTGGGCTGGGGTCTGGCTACTCCCTCCCTGTCCGCTAGAGCTAGCTGGCTTCCCCTAAAGGAGTTCCCCCCACCCTCACTGCTGGGCCCAGCCTTCAGAATCCCTGTCCATCCCTGGCTTCAATGGTCTCATGTCTCAGAGCAGTTCCGTTGTATTTCATGTACTTTATTCCTCATTTTCATTCCACCTCCTCTAAGAGTATAATAAGATGATGGGTTAGTATTTCCTGTGAAAGGAACAGTTAAGAAATAATGTATGTGGAAATCGCTTATTACAAGTGATAAGTGTTATCAGTTGTTAGTTTAGAGTCCCTAGCTTTTATTTAGGGTTCCTGCTCTAAGGAGCCATCTGACAGGCCAGGCCTCACTTTGTTTCAGACGTCACATTCACCGTGATATGACTGAGATGTGTGTGTTTACATTTTCATCTCCAATTGAGAGAGGATTGCTGTGACTGTACTGTTTCCACAGTGTTCTAGGTTTGAGCACTAACATTTTCCCAGATCCCAATTTTACTTTCTTTCAGGTTATTTAAAATACTGTCTTCCTTTCCATGGTGGCTGTTGTTACCTCTAGAATGCCTTCTTTCTATGTTATTGCTCTGAAAAGGCTGAATGTTAGGTGCAAGACTGATACTCTTTAAATAAGTAGGATGACCAGGCCCTAGAAAGAGCTGCTGCTTCCTCCTGTGTTGTTGCTCTTGGAAGAGTGACCCGTCCCTCTGTCCCAGCAGGACTGGCCAGCCTTGCTGCTCTACCAGCCAGGAGCTTGCGTACGAGCTCGTGAATGTGGTGGGAGAAGGGGTGAGGCGGAAGATCCAACCAGCTGGTTCTGAGAAGAACGAAGATGCAGAGTGAGTGATGCATGTGCCATGTTTGTGACCTGAGTGAACTGCCATCCAGCAACCCGTGGATTAGAAAGGGCATCCAGAAACGTGCGGATTAACCTGGAATATAACCTGCAGGCGAGTTTGCTCCTTATAAAGAAACTAGAAACTAGAACCATAAAGGTGGCATAGAAACATCTAGAAACCATTCTTAAGAAAGAAGGAACCGTTTAAAAGTTTAACAGTTTTCATAGATTTTACCGTTTGTAAACTAACATATGTCATTTACACAAAAGAGAGAAAAGTCTCGTTTGGAAAATAGAAAAGTATGACTAAAGCAGAGAAGAAAATTAGCATTGTGCCAGTGTGAATTCTGAAGCACTTTGAACATGTAGAAATAACTTGCACATTGTGGTTCTTGTTTGTTTCCTGTGACCCCGGTTTCTGGGAAGTGAGCAGCTCTCATTCTATCATCACCTTTGTAAACGGGCCTCTCAGCACCATCTGTGGCGCCTTCCCCGGGAGCTGTTGTGTTAGAGTCTCTGATAGGAACCTTGTAGCCTGAAGTACTGACTGCCCGCCTTTTCAGCTGTTTGGCCACTGACGTCATGAAAATGGTTTCCCAACCTTCGGGTGAGTGTGTCCTGGTTCAGAACCATCGTGGCATGAGGACCGCTGCGGTGCTGTAGGCGGCGTTCTCTGGGGATGGGTTAACAGACACA